AGGGAAAAAGAATCCCTTATTGACTTAGGGAAGTTTACTTTTGTGCTCAGTTCAAACATTTCTTTTACATTCTCGAGTTGAAGGGGAAAAAAAAAAATTTTTTTCCACTGCCCTTTTGCTACTGCGAAGCTTGATAACAACTTGTTTCAAATTCTCGTTTCAAACTGTGATTATTGTTTTCTATAGGTTGGTTATGAGCGATAGGAGAATTCTCAGAGAATATTGAAAAAGGTTGTGAATATTCTCAGATATAAAGGAAACGAAAATCTTTTGCTTTGTGATTAGGGTTTCCGGTCAACAGAAAGAGAGAGAAAGAAACATTGAGGTACTGATTCTACGGAGGATGATGATTTTAAACGTTTCGTTGTACTTTTGTTATTGCCAAGAATGAGGCTATAGGCACTGGAAGCAAAGCTGGAAGGTCACTTCGTATAATAACTGGACAAAAACGAAAATACGAGCAAGACTTGAGACGCCTCGAGGCCAGGGACGAAAGTCCTAAAACAAAAACAATCTGCTTCAGTGGATATTGTTTCTTGCGGTCAAGCCTTGGGTCAAGACTGCGTTGCGGTTTTCCCTTCTCTATCGCTATATGTAATAACAATACACCCCCGCACAATTATCAGGCTTATAAAGGAGAATAATTAAATAAAAGAGAGTTCAGAATAATTGCCCAGTGGAGGTCTCGCTATCGTTTTTGGATAAAATTAAATCTTGAATAAAATGTTCTTTGAATTTTTGTATTTTTATACTCGACAAAAATCATTTGATTTATTATGAAGGTCACATTTAGGGGGCAAAAAAGTAATTAATTATGTGATTAAAGAAAGAAAATTTCATGGGAAAGAAATCTGCTGTAAAAGAAATTACAAAGAAATTAAAAATTTTTAAAAACTTGCGCTTTTTTAAAGGTTGAAAATTATTTTGTTTTCTTTAAAATTATTTATAGCTTTCTATTTTACCGATCGGTTAAAGATTTAACTACATGTTAGTACAGCGCTGACAGTATTTTAATTTTTCTTTTTGCAGATTCTATCCTCGATGGCTTGTGGTGTCACGTACTCCAAAGATAAGGGCAAAAGTAAAAAAGGATATCTGAAAGGACACCGAATTCTTCATATTCGGACTTTTTAGAACTCGGTCTATTTTTACGGTTATTTTTCACATTTTCTGAATGGAAATTTAACTTGAAAGTAGGGATCTCCGAGGGCTATTTAGTTTGAAAGAATCTCCTTGAAGCTGAAACACAGAAAGGATGTTGGAGGATGCAGAAAAATGACTTCGATTTCAATCTTCGTGAAAGTGCAACAAAGCAGAGTTAAACAAGGAGCAGAGATTTTCCGAGAGTCTCTGGGAATCATTTCTTCGACGTGGGTTTTCATCAATCGGTGAGTCGCTTTTATTATTTGTTGTCATATAGATCTTTAAGGAAAATATTCCGTCCAATATAGTTACGGATTAAAATTATTTTTGTAAGATTAGTTAAAATTTACTGATTACAAATTGACAATGATTATTATTTATGACAATATTTTTGTTCCTTTATAATTTTGTCCACTTACAAAGAGTATACTTAATTATTCATAAGAGATTCTTGTGTTGAAATTGAGCTCGAGAGTTTTATATATATAGTCATGAGAAGAGATGAAAAAGTGCCAAGTGCCAAGTGACGAGCGAATCGGATTATCCGATGTCCTTGGGTCAATATCGTATATAACTGCTTCTTGAATTAAAGCGAACTTGTTCGTCGATGAGTAATGAAAGAAGCTTTTTTAACTTATTTGGAAATAATTATTTCATTTCTCATGTATTTATTAAGTTCTTTTTCTTGAATACTATTATCAATTCATTTCGAACATTATCCCGATCGAGGGCGACTCCTTTCTCACAGAAATCATTTTTATTTCGGCTCTTTTACATTTTTAACTCTGCTGAGTCTCTCATTTACTTTTTTTTTGAAAAATTTATAGAATTAAATGTAATTTATATTTTTTTTGAAAGAATTTTTCTTATTTCCCTCTTTTAATTAATTGTTATAAAAATAAGTTAATGGCATTAATTATTTTTGAATTGATATATGAATACGGGCAAATAATTGTAGACTAGGGAAAAGCAATAAATTTTAATGATGTTGATAATTGCATTTAATTATATATATGTTGATTCAAGAAAGATGGGGAAAATTAATTTGACTATTGTTGAGAAAGGATAATAATAATTAACTTTAACCACTGAAATTGATTTGATGAAAATGCTAATGAGAGTAGTCTTATTCCTTAAGTGTGCCAGTATAATAGGTCATATTCCCTCCTGAGGTGACAAATTAACATTCACCTGCGTTAATCCTAACCCGCTGAGAGATATTTCCATAAATTTGCTTTGTTCATTTATTATATTTCCGGCTCTTGTGTTTAAGTGGAAAAGTATAGTAGGGCTTCCTGTTAGTTTTGTATTAGTTCTTAAATACAAACTATTTTTTGGTTTATTTGCCCCCCCCTTTACTTTTTTCCATGAATGATTTTGATTTATTTTGAGACTTGATCATGATGAAAAGAATATTCGAAAATTATTTATACGAATGATTTTAAAAAGAATGTTTTGAAAATAAAATAAGGCTGCTGAATAATAATTGCTACTATGGTTTGAATCTAATACGTTGTAGAATTCTTTTTTGGTTATATATAGCACCTGCAATATTAGAAGGTCCAGGTTGGACGACTGATGCTTCGGCAAACAATACTGGGGATGATGTACGGTTCAAGTATATATATTGTCTGTGCGTCGAGTATATAGTGGTAGGCGGGAGATTTATCTTTCTACTTTTATAGATGTTGTCAGATAGAATGAGAGCGAAAGAGAGAAAATTCCGGGTCCTCGACCCTCCAGAATCTTGAGAGATATACGATGCGGTTTCTGGCAAGTTTCTAAATTTTCAAATATAGTCAAAAAACAACAAAATACCCTCTAAATTTTCCTCATACCATTATATATGCTAAAAGCTAATTTATTTTGGTTCAGATTTGATGAGTGAGATCTTACATGAATCTGCTATCAAAGTTTTACGACACTTTTCTCTGTTCCTTTAAAAATGCGTCCAATGGTATTTCGTGCGACTGAAATTTCTTACGGTAAATTTTTATGGATTTCAATATATCACTTTGTCAAGACGATTTTTCCCAAATACTCGTAAAAAAAGACGGATGCTGTGAATAATCTTTTCCTCTGTCGAGATTGAAAATTAAGAAGAGGATTCTAATGATGTTAGAATTAGATAAAAATTCCTGAGATATATTATATAAAATATAGGTTTTCACTAAGTGAAATGGTGTTTTTAATAGTCAAAATTAAATTGAATTAAAATAATTGTTCTGAGATTATTTTCCTTTAATTGAAAATTGAATTTTTAAACTTTTAAATTGGCGAGATTGTTTTTTTTAATATTTGAGAAATCATATAAAAGATAGGAATTTAGATGATTTGATTTATTGAATTTTTATTGGACTTTTTTTCTACATCGGATTGTTTGTAAATTACCGAGCTCTCGCAATTGTTTTCGGAGAAGAGATTTATTGTCCTTGAAAATATCAATCTTTTGGTGAGAAAGATGTTTTATGGTTTCATATTAGCACTATCATCTGAGACCTTTATAATATAAAGAAGAACTTTACCTGGAAATGGTGTCATCGACTTAATACGTGAACATACCTGTCAATGACCTGAATCCTTTTTACACGTTTTCATTAGAAATTGTTCTCATTTTCCAGGAATGTTATTTAATTGAACAATTTGTTTAGTATATCACTTTTAAAAAACATATAAATTAAATTTGTTATTCACCAAAACATTTTATTAATAATTTTTTGTGAAGATTAATAATTTAATTTAGTTTTTACTGTGATAAATTTTCATAGTTAGTGAATATTTTGTTTATTAGATTTAATAAAAATGTAAATCAGTTTAGGAATTAGTATATATTTCATAATAAATAGAATATTTTCGATTTTAATTTTTTCACATTTTTTGCTATCTCTCTCTGAAGTATTTATTTCTGGTAGTCCAGAGAAATCGTAAAATTGTTTTATGTGTTTCACTTTAAGGAGATAAATTCTTGTCAATTCTTTCAGAACATTGTTCAACATGAAAGTTATACATTCGGACTAACTATTAAAAGAATCCATTTTTTTTTATTGCGCATAATAGAATATCGCTAGAAATTTCGACAGAGGCAAATTTTTATGGGCACGAATATTTTGTCATTTTATATATCAATATAGGATTTTCATTGACAATTTTCTTGATAATTTCTAATTGGTTAATTTTAATAAAATTCAAGGTAAAAAATTTTATCTTCATGTTTTCCAAATATTAGTTTATTTCCATTCAAATATTTCTGCTCTCTAAAATCTGTTTTATGATGGTCGCACACATCTTTTAGGTTAATACTTGTTTACCCTTGAAATAGTTTCAAATATTTCTTCGAAATAAAACGGACACTTATTTTTCTGATATATATAAATTTTTATTATTTTTTTTAATCGTTTCCTTTGAACAAACAATTGGTTTCTTTTTTAAAAACTTATTTACGAATGTTAAACATTTTTGAGAAATAATTAAATGCAATTTTTTTTAAAAGTTCATTAATTAATTATTGTAAAGTGAATTAGCAAATTCATCTTATCATGCTTAAAGATTTAAACTTGTTTATCTCTGGTCAGATGCCATCATTTTTAACACATATAGAAATACTTTATTGCAATTATTGTCATTTTTTCTATGCTTCTACCCTTTTTGCCAACTCACGATTATTATTATGTCGTATATCTCTTATTGTTTTTGAATATAATAAAATGAGGAAGAATGATGTGTAGTAGTATTAAAAATTTTAATCACATATTCAAATTTTAAACAATTGCTATTAAGCTGAATATTCTTTGAATTACTAATTAATAAAAAATATAGTTTATTTATGCAATATTGTAGCCATTTTCTGTACTATTTGGGAGTATTTATCTAAACATGATCCCAAATTATTTTCTGCCTTCATCTCAGAATGATTTCATCTGCATAACATTGCTGTTTTGTTTAATTAGGTATATTAGAGTTTGTTCCACATATAAGCTTATTTTTTAGAGGAAATTCAACTAACAACAACAATGGGGGAAAAAAGCGGCCCTACTTAGGTTTTCTATGAATAAAAGAAAAATTGCGTGCGATAAATTGAAAAGTTTCTGGGCATGAAGTTCCATAGAAGTAAAGGGAGTGTCGGCGGTAAGTCAGTTCTTCGCATACCTTACTCTCAGGTAGGTAGGTAGGTTGGTAGGTAGGCAAGCAGGCACTTTGGTATAGTGTACTCTAGCGGAGAGTCGAGTCGAATGTCGAGGTTCGTGAGCGAGTGAGCCAGCGAGCAAACGGACCCAACGATCCCCTCTCCAAGATGGCCGCTGTTGGGTCCAGCGGTTACCCTGATCGAGCCGAGCAAAAGCAACTCGCCTAACTAAAGTTAGCAGGGGAAGGGAAGACCTTGCAGGTGCCGCCATGTCAGTGCATGCCTAACCTCGAAGCCGCGCGGAACAGACGCTGGGCCTTACGTCGCGTTAATCTCCTCGTGTACTGTTACTCGACAAAAAGAAGAAAAAAACTAGCCAAGTTCCGAAAATAATATCATTGGTCCTCCTTCTATTACGGTGTGAATAGTTGGTATATCGCGCAAATCAATTTGGATTAAAGTGAATGATCTACAATTTGGTATTTGGGCCTTAAGGTGCAGTGTTCTGCGATACGGCGAGGCACCGGCTAGCGCGGGTTTATTGCGTTAGGTGATGTGAGATTCCGTCGATACTGTTCAGGTTTTTCATCCCTGTTGTGCTCGCTTGCTGGATCGCGTCTAAAGAGAAGGCCAAGATCTTCTTGGAGAAGACCAGTGTCTTCCTTCTCTTTCTGTCTCGCGTTTTCTTTTTTTTCTCTCTGTCTCTCTCTTTCTTCTTTGCCTTATTTTTCAAGAGGAAAATTGAAATTATTCCAACATAAAATACATGTTGTTTTGGTCACACTTGGCAAGAAGTCACGTGAGTTGAAGGCTGACTCAAACTGCAGGCATCGAGAGGTCATCGCACGTCTTCTCTCGCTGGAATGATCACGATGAGCTGAGTATTACACTCACTATGATCAGACACCACGTGCGGATACTTACGAATACAGACATATTCAAAAGAGTAGCATCTCTTTTCTTCCTTTATGTTTGTCATACAATTTTTTAAATAAAATCTGGATTACGAACAAAAATTGATTCTTTTGGAAGTGACTGATTTATAAATAGGTTTGTTTTTTTGTGATGTGGTGGTGATTGTGGGTGTATGGTGATGATAGAAAAAAGAGTTTGTTGAAACAGTGATTTTACGTGGATTTTTCCATCAGATATGAAAAGATCAAGATAGTATTTGTGAGAAAAGTGGCGGGAGGAGGAGGGAGTGACCCAGGATGCGGGTCTTGCTGCTGATTTTCGTCCTGGGAGTGGCGCAATTCCCGGGTACGAAATCCGAACTCGTTCGGTATCTCGAGGTTTCGGAAAATGCAGCACCGGGAACAAGAGTTGGCTACATTGATGCTGACAGTCCACCTTATTTAATAGTCCCTGTGCCTGGATCAGCAGTTGATGCTGATTTAATAGTAGACCATGCGACCGGCGAGATAAAAACAAGAGTGCCTCTGGATCGTGAGACTAGACCATCATATAGTCTCGTTGCTCTACCACAGAATGTTCGGGTGGTCATCAAAGTACTTGATGAAAATGATAACGCACCAACGTTTCCTGCCGAACATGTGGATGTTGAATTTCCAGAAAATTCACCACGCGATGCAAAACGTGCCCTACCACCAGCTAAGGATCCTGACTTGGGACAATATTCGACTCAACGATATGAAATTGTCTCGGGAAATTACGGAGATATGTTTCGACTTTCGCAACATCGGGGACGTGACGGTGTTTTGTATTTGGATTTACAGAATTCTGGCTCTCTTGATAGGGAGGCACGTTCTTGGTATCATCTTGTGATAGAAGCACTGGATGGCGGTGCACCACCTCTAAGGTCTCGACTCCATGTCAATGTCACAGTGCAAGATGTCAATGACAATCCGCCGATCTTCAATCAGACACGGTACACGGCAAGTGTACCGGAGAATGCCACCGTCGGCACACCAATACTCATGGTGAACGCTACTGACTTGGATGCCGGTGACAATTGTAGAATCGAGTATTCCATCAATCGTCGTCAATCCGACCGCGAGGAGATGTTTCGAGTGGATCCGGAAACGGGCATGGTTTATGTGAACAAGCCATTGGACTTTGAGTCAAAGGAGCGACACGAACTGGTAATCGTCGCAAGGGATCGCGGTGCACAGCCGCTTGAGGCAAGTACCTTCGTGTCAGTCCATGTCACCGATGTGAATGACAATCAGCCGGCGATCACGGTTATTTTCCTGTCGGACGACGCTACGCCCAAGATCAGTGAGAGTGCACAACCTGGTGAATTCGTTGCAAGGATATCGGTCAGCGATCCTGATTCAAGAACGGAATACTCCAATGCAACCGTCACACTATCAGGTGGCGACGGACACTTTGGACTGACGACACGTGACAACATTATCTATCTTGTTGTCGTTGAACGACCACTTGATCGTGAAGAAAAGCCGGTTTATGATCTTTTGGTGGAAGCCACGGATGCAGGAACACCTCCGTTGAGAGCAGTAAGGACATTTAGGCTTTTAGTGACAGACGTGAATGATAATGCTCCAAAATTTCTTCAGGAAAGATATGATGCACATTTATTGGAGGCATCGGAACCGGGAACATCTGTTTTGCGTGTTAGTGCTACGGATTTGGATGAGGGGGCAAATTCTGTCATTAAATATAGTTTATTGAATACAACGTGGTTTGCAATTGATGTGAATTCGGGTTTGATCAGTACCGTGACTCACGTGGACTGTGAGGCTGATCCGGCGCCAATTCTTGTTGTTGTTGCTACCGACTCGGGTCGTCCACCTCTTAGTAGTAGTGCTACCGTTCGTGTGACAGTGCATGATCTTAATGACAACGAACCCATCTTCGAGAAGCCATTGTACAACGCCACGGTGCCTGAGGATCTACCGGTTGGACGCTGCTTTCTCAAGGTAAACGACTCTCGTAACGTATATATACTATTACGCGAATTCTTTGTTTATGTATTAGGCTTTGGAAAAAGTTTGTCGAGTTCTGGAATTTGCAATTATTTTCTTAGTGATATTAGTCCCAAACCACTTGCATTAACAATAGTTTCTGTTATTAATAACATAAATAAGTTTGTCAATTATATTGGTTCATCAGTTTTTTCCTATCTCTGTTCTGTAAGAGTTGTTCTTATCTGCAACAACATTAATTATTATAATTTATTTCACAATTGTAAATTAAAAGGGTTAACAAATATTTACGAATTTAATGCGATCGAATAATTTATTTGAGGACTTTTTTTGCTTTATATTGTTTTTTTTTTACAAAAAACATTTGTGAGGTACAATTTCTGATTTTATATTTATTTTAACGTTTTGTGTGCGGCCTAACAGTCAATGAAAATTGAATTTAATAGAAGAAATAACAGTTGTTTAATGACTTATTATTTCTCGTGGAATTGAAAATAACTGCTTTTAGAATTATAATAGCAAAAAAAATGAAAATAAAAATGATAATTAAATTATTTTAAAAGTGCAATGGCAAAATTCCGGAATATCTTATAATCGTCATATACGCTATTTTAATAAACACTTTAATTTAAATTCTAAAGTATTAATATATGCGCCAAGAGGAAATTACAAGCTTATGCATATTTCAAATTGCTTTACATATTTCAATTATTATAGAATAGATTTATTTTGATGAAAATATAATATAAATTTATTAGTTCTTTGCGGTTTTGTTAATATGTTAATATTAATTTCTTCGATTAATTTCATATATGCGCGCGTTCGAAAATTCCATTCATTCAATGTTTCATTATTCAAATGTGTAGACAGAATTCTTTGGAAGATTCGCTATAATTTTACTCGTATTTCTTGTTAATACAAATAGAAAACAAAAATGAACTGTCAAAAGTACAGAATTTCTGTTTAGACTTTTTTTTGGGAAAATATTACACCATTTTCTAGAAATAAAATTATTTTTTATATTTGAGGACAATAAATAAAAATAGAAATTGATAATAATTTAGGTGCGGTCTTTAAAATTTCCAATTAAATTATAGTTTTCGTTGAAAATTTTCAGATCGTGAAATTTATTTAATTCTAAAAATATAAGTCGAACTAATTAATAGAGATATTTAATATCTATGTATGTGAAATTTTACTTTTCCGCTTCATGAAATGTATATATATTTCAGTTCACTTGGAATTCTCTTAATAGACATTTCATTAATTCCGCTATAAGAACGACATAATCATTAATAACAAATAACTAGGTTTCAAGATGTTCAACTCAAGAATTTTATGCTTAAGGATTACGTTAATAAAAGACATTCTTTTTTCCGGTTGATGATATTCCACTCGATGCAAGGAAGTTATATTTTATGAATAAATTTTTTATTTAGGATCTTGAGAGGAAAACATATTTTATGAATAGTTACTTTAAAAATCCCTTTGGTATTAATTTAGTATAGTTTTTCAATAATTTATGTAGCTTGGAATAGAATTTATTATAAATATATTATATAATTATTTAATTAGGATATTATTTTTTTTTATTTAAAAAAAAATCAGTTTTGAATTTGTCTTCGGTGTTATAAATTTAAAATCCCATTTGTACCTTATAGGACACTAATCGGTGACTCATATGTCAAGGAGTGTCAAAATATTTGAATATTTGAAACTCATTCACGAATCTTGTAAAAAAAATAATCTTGAATCATCACAATACAATTTGGTTTTGAATATTTAAAAAATAGATATTTTGTTTAACATTTTGAAGATGGAAAGAATTAGTTGGCTCATCGTGTTGTGGCGGGAATGAGAATTGAATGAAAATGAATTCTGTTGAGTGATTTCTCGAAGTTAACATGTATCGTTGATACTTGATGCATGTTATATAGGTATATATAGAAAGAGAATGTTCAGGTCGAAAGTCTCTATACGTATAGGTTCCTCCGTTGAAGTGACAAGATAGCACGAATCCAAAGTCAAAGAGCGGGTTCACAGATAGTGGAGTCCGGTCGCGGGATTCGAGATCCAAGAAGTCGATAGGCCTTTCTTGGAGAGGAGGATGGCACCGTAGTAAAAAGCTCATCCCTGCCATTATCGTTGACGTTGACAGGTCTTCGTTAAACTTGGATTGCTCTCTCATTTTCTCTCTTTCTTCATTTCACTTTGTTTTCAATCTTTAGGTATACTTCTCTCACTCTCACAAGGTTTTCTTTCTATCATCCTTTCTCCAGATTTCGTTTATGTTTGCAAAAGAAGAAATCGAACTTGTTTTTGCATTATTTTTGGTTTTATAAACTTTTCTCCAATTCGATCCCCTCTGGAATTTATACTTAATCGTAAATTTTTTCATTGTTAGTTATGGAATGAGAATCAGAAATCCTCACCTTAGGCAAGTTAACTTCGTTTTTGCGAGAGAGAGAAAGAGATTATCCAATCGGTTATTGAGATTTCGGAAGCTGATTGGTTACAGAGAGAGATGAATTTTAAGCTGATGGTATTGGCGCTTGAAATGTTTAACAGTGGCTAAAGAGGATTGATCGTATGAGAAATATGAAGAGAAGGAGAGACAGGTTCTTTTGCAGTTGCGGTGTTTTTTTTCCCTATATCTTGAGCTTTAACCCTCTTGTGCGAACATTGCTTTTGCAAAGGCAGATGGACACTTGGAGAATAAATGAGTGCATTTTTCAAGGCGCGCACATTCATTTCTTTTCAAATTTGAATGTATAGAATGGAATGTTAATAGGACGTAATATTTTATAGGGTTTGTTAAATTCAATAATTATAATTATTTCTATCTGTTATTATCATAATTATAGGTTTTTTTGTTACACCCACAAATCTCGTAAAAAATTTCCCATTTTGGAGTTTGGTCGCTCCACCCCTTGATTTCCTGGTTATTTCTTCGTGAATCTATTTTTATTCCTATATTTCTTTTCTTTTGTCCAGTTTTGTTTTTTCCATGAAGCTTATTTACGTTTACATTTTTTTTAATTATTTTCTTTTTTTGAATGTTATTTTTTTTATTTTCTTTTTTGTCTTTTTCTTGTCCTTTTTTTATTCTCCGGCATCTTTTTTTTCGTTCTTCTTCTGTATTATTTTTCTGATTCTTTTTTTTTGTCTTCCTTTCCCTCTCTTTTGCTCGGTTACTTCTTGGCCTCGACCTCCTCATCCTCTCACAAGTCAAATCTACGGCCACGTCTCGCCTGTGGAAACGGGTTCTGAAAGTTGGACTCTGCATGAAATCTGTATTACTCCTTCTTTGAAAATCGCTTCTTGGAGAGGTGTGCGCCGGATGAGGTTCCTCACCCAATGGAATGACGTTTGAAAAATCGCTCGGCTTTAAAAAGGGTAATTATTGTTGCTCAGATGTGTGTTGTAATTCAGGCGCAATAAGTGAAGTGCGTCAGGAATTCAGGAGCCTGTTTAAGAGAAATCAACTTTTTGATAAATAACAATCGCAATCGATTCCTAAAAATAGTAATGGAAAATCGATTTTTTTAAATACATTTTTGCTTTATATGGAAGAGGTTTTTTTTTTTTTTTTTTTTGAAAAATGCGATTTAGAAGCTTCGAAGGAAAATTTATGCATGCTATTAAAAATAATTTATCTACGAGAGTTTAGAAACTGGGGGTATAGGAAAAAGTAAAATTTTCTTCTCGTAAAAGTATGAAGAGGTAAAAAGCAGTGGAGGTTTTTTTTCGTAAATAGTATACTACCACTCTTGTATTTTTCTTCTGCATAAATGAACGGTCGTTTGTATTTTTTTTCTTCTTCACGAATAGGGTTAGTTCTCTTTTGCGGTTCATGTTCCAGATGAGCAGGTGAGGTCGACAGGATATGTATGTTGAGAAAATTGACACGAAGCTTTTGCATAGAAATGGCACTAAATTGGTAACAAAATTGGCACCCATTGGTATAGCCAGAGGATAGAAGGAAAATGGTATCGAGAATCGCCGTACAAAGTGGCGATGATCATAATATAACCATCGTCTGACATATGTGGCATTAGACACTATTTCGAGTGGCAACGCCCGCAACAATTGTTGCCGTTTACGATTGCCTTTATATATATATATATACTCTCCTGTTTTGAATCCTACGCACCAGGCCACATTCCCGAGTGCAACATGAATACGACGTGTGCATTCACGTGCATCGCGGTCGTGCCGTCCCTGGTCGTTCGGAGATCGAGCAAAACCAACAACGAGTTGTTGTACGTGACGCGGATCGTGCCCTGCGATTCTGGAAATGTTTACGCGATTCCTCTTTTCTACTTTCCCACACCAACCTTGGGGGCTATATACTTTAAAGAGAGCACCAATTTCTTGAAATCATAAACACTTTTCTTCGTGGAAGTCTTCTCTCGAATGAAATAACCTTGTGCATTAGAACTTGTGTAACATGTCGAACAATATGGCATTGTGCATTAACATGTACATGCAGCATATGTGAAACAATGTGCTATTGTACATTACAATGTATGTGCCATTGGAACTATATGGTATTTTGCAATAAAATGTATATGTATCGGTAATAGAAAACAATAAGGAATTACACCCTAAAATGTGAGCACCTTAAAATTTATTCACCATTGATATTATACACCCTCCAAAAATGGATATTTGTCATTGAAATAAAATCGTGTACTTAGAATGTGAATAGGTATTTCTTATGCAAGAATTTACTTTTTATGCGAATTTTATTTTTCACTATTAAAAATAATCGGATTAAATTTGAATTAGTTATATAGCGTTTAGCAATGACTCATTTTGAACAGAAACTAATTCAGATTATTCAGATTTGGAGAGTATATAATTACTTAATATAATTAATTTCTGATTTTTTGCTCCTCTTTGCGTTTGCGCTTTCTTATAATCTCGTGGTTTTATATCGAGTGAAATTGCGCATTCGTTGCAAACTTTCCATAGACGAAGATATAATATAC